GGGGGGGTGTTTTGTGGCTCTGAGCCCAGGGGGGGGGGGGGGATTTCCTGGATGCTGGGACTGAAACTGCATTCCCCTCGGCCCAGTGTATGGGTGGCTCTATGAGCCCTCCCCTTCCCCCCGCCACGTACGCGTCAGATGGAGCGTCACGGTGCCACTGCGGCGGGTGGCGTTGGACCGGATGTCACAGAGGTAGGGCCCCTCGTCCGGCAGGGTGAGGTTCCAGATCCGGAGGGCCAGGCGGCCCTGCTGTATCCCGTCCCGCAGCAGCTCCGTCCGGCCCCGGTAGGCGGGGCCCTGCTCCTCGTGCCCGTCCGGCCAGTACTCGTGCACGTCCTGGCCCTGCCAGGGCCGGCTCCATGTCACCTGCATGGCCCGGGCGCTGAGCGCCGGGGAGAGCTGGCAGGGCAGCACCACGGAGCCCCCCAGCGGGGCGTAGAGGGGGCCAGCGGGAGCCAGAACCTGGAAACTCACTGGAGAAGGGGCCAGAGAGACAAGGCTGCGTCAGAGGGAAGCGGGGGCCAAGGCATCGCCTCTCCCACACCCCAGAGCAGCTCCCCAGGCCAGAGACCCCAGCGGATCCAGGAAAGAGGGGCAGAGGGACTGTGGGGGGGGGGGGGGGGGGGTGCATGGGGAGGGATGGAGGGATGGAGAAATGGACAGATGGATGGGTGTGTATGGGGATGGATGGATGGATGGATGGATGGATGGATGGATGGATGGATGGATGGACAGATGGGTGTGTACAGGGATGGATGGATGGGTGGGTGGGTGGATGGGAGGGTGTGTACAGGGATGGATGGATGAATGGATGTTTGGAAGGATGGAAGGAGGGATAGAGGAATATGTACGGGGACAGATGAATGGATGGAAGGATGGATGGTTGGATGGATGGGTATGTATAGGGATGGATGGATGGATGGATGGATGGACAGATGGGTGTGTACAGGGATGGATGGATGGGTGGGTGGGTGGATGGGAGGGTGTGTACAGGGATGGATGGATGAATGGATGTTTGGAAGGATGGAAGGAGGGATAGAGGAATATGTACGGGGACAGATGAATGGATGGAAGGATGGATGGTTGGATGGATGGGTATGTATAGGGATGGATGGGTGTGCCCCGAGATGGATGGATGGACAGACGGGTGGATGGGTGTGTACGGGGATGGATGGATGGATGGACGGATGGATGGATGGACAGGTGGATGGGTGTGTACGGGGATGGATGGATGGATGGACGGGTGGACGGGTGGATGGGTGTGTATGGGGATGGATGGATGGATGGACGGGTGGACGGGTGGATGGGTGTGTATGGGGATGGATGGATGGATGGACGGGTGGACGGGTGGATGGGTGTGTATGGGGATGGATGGGTGGATGGATGGACGGGTGGATGGGTGTGCACCGAGATGGATGGATGGATGGACGGACGGGTGGATGGGTGTGTACGGGGATGGATGGACGGACGGATGGATGGACGGGTGGATGGGTGTGTACAGGGATGGGTGGATGGGTGTGGATGGGGATGGATGGACGGGTGGATGGGTGTGTACGGGGATGGGTGGATGGGTGTGTACGGGGATGGATGGACGGACAGGTGGATGGGTGTGTACAGGAATGGAAGTGGGAGGAATGGACGGACAGACTCCCTTTGCCACCCCTTACTGCTACCCCAGCCTGTCCCCGCTGGGTCCAGGAGCCGGAGGGCCCCTTTGCCCCCACCAGAGCCCCCTTACCGGCCGCTGCAGCCTGAATGTGCAGAAGGAGGGTGGCTGGGAGCAGGGCCGCACCGGCCCGGGGGCGACGGGTTCCCTGCATCGGGCAGGGCAGGCGCCGCTGAGCTATAGGGAGCCAGGAGAGAAGGGATGAGCCCCCAGCATCCTGTGCCCACTGGCAGAACGCAGACACGCAGGAGGCCCGGGAGAGATTCTGGTGCCAACCCCGCGGATTAGCAGGGCGCCCATCGCCGTGGGTGGTGCACATCTGCACTTGTCTTGGCGCACGGAACAAAATTTATTCCACACTTGGGTGGCAAAAAAAATAGAGCGAACCTTGCAGAGCCCCCGGTGGGGTTCACAGGGCTGTACCCCCCTCTGCTTTGGCGCTTTGGGGGGAAATCCTAGATGAGATTTTTTGAACCCACACTTTTTCTTGGAGCTATTTTTTCCTCCTGCAAACCCCGCTCTTTCTGAAATCCGTTCTGGGCCAATTCTTCCCTGGTCCCCGCCCCATTCAGCGCGTTTCGGGGAAGCTCTGTCGTGGCCGGCCAAGGAGCGGCGCTTGCGAGCGCTGCAAATCTCAGACGCTTGGAAGGTTTTTCCATATTTGGATGTGCCCAACGTTCCCAGGCGCGGCTGGTGGGTTAGTGTCGTTTGTCTGTTATTTCTCCTCCCTCCCCCGCGAGCTACGGCTGTTCCTAAGTCTCCTGGCCGCCTTGGAACCTCCCCGCCTCGGGGTCGGCGCCAGCCCTTCCAAGGCGCCTCGGACGCGACAAAACTGCTGGTGGTGTCAGACAGACAGACAGACAGACAGACAGACAGACAGACAGACAGACAGACAGACAGACAGACAGACAGACAGACAGACAGACAGACAGACAGACAGACAGACAGACAGACAGACAGACAGACAGACAGACAGACAGACAGACAGACAGACAGACAGACAGACAGACAGACAGACAGACAGACAGACAGACAGACAGACAGACAGACAGACAGACAGACAGACAGACAGACAGACAGACAGACAGACAGACAGACAGACAGACAGACAGACAGACAGACAGACAGACAGACAGACAGACAGACAGACAGACAGACAGACAGACAGACAGACAGACAGACAGACAGACAGACAGACAGACAGAGGTTCTGAAACCATTGCCTACACTTGCCTTTGGTGACCTCTGGTTCTTGTGTTAATGAGAAGTAAAAATAACATTAGATAGATAGATAGATAGATAGATAGATAGATAGATAGATAGATAGATAGATAGATAGATAGATAGATGGGGTGTGGGGAGATAGATAGATAGATAGAGAGATAGATAGATAGATAGATAGATAGATAGAGGGGGTGGGTGGGGATAGATAGATAGATAGATAGATAGATAGATAGATAGATAGAT